TCTATGGGATTAAGGTCTGGAGACTGGCTAGGCCACTCCAGGACCTTAATATGCTTCTTCTTGAGCCACTCCTTTGTTGCCTTGGCCGTGTGTTTTGGGTCATTGTCATGCTGGAATACCCATCCACGACCCATTTCCAATGCCCTGGCTGAGGGAAGGAGGTTCTCACCCAAGATTTGACAGTACATGGCCCCGTCCATCGTCCCTTTGATGCGGTGAAGTTGTCCTGTCCCCTTAGCAGAAAAACACCCCCAAAGCATAATGTTTCCACCTCCATGTTTGACGGTGGGGATGGTGTTCTTGGGGTCATAGGCAGCATTCCTCCTCCTCCAAACACGGCGAGTTGAGTTGATGCCAAAGAGCTCGATTTTGGTCTCATCTGACCACAACAATTTCACCCAGTTCTCCTCTGAATCATTCAGATGTTCATTGGCAAACTTCAGACGGGCCTGTATATGTGCTTTCTTGAGCAGGGGGACCTTGCGGGCGCTGCAGGATTTCAGTCCTTCACGGCGTAGTGTTACCAATTGTTTTCTTGGTGACTATGGTCCCAGCTGCCTTGAGATCATTGACAAGATCCTCCCGTGTAGTTCTGGGCTGATTCCTCACCGTTCTCATGATCATTGCAACTCCAAGAGGTGAGCTCTTGCATGGAGCCCCAGGCCGAGGGAGATTGACAGTTATTTTGTGTTTCTTCCATTTGCGAATAATCGCACCAACTGTTGTCATCTTCTCACCAAGCTGCTTGGCGATGGTCTTGTAGCCCATTCTAGCCTTGTGTAGGTCTACAATCTTGTCCCTGACATCCTTGGAGAGCTCTTTGGTCTTGGCCATGGTGGAGAGTTTGGAATCTGATTGATTGATTGCTTCTGTGGACAGCTGTCTTTTATACAGGTAACAAACTGAGATTAGGAGCACTCCCTTTAAGAGTGTGCTCCTAATCTCAGCTCGTTACCTGTATAAAAGACACCTGGGAGCCAGAAATCTTTCTGATTGAGAGGGGGTCAAATACTTATTTCCCTCATTAAAATGCAAATCAATTTATAACATTTTTGACATGCGTTTTTCTGGATTGTTTTGTTGTTATTCTGTCTCTCACTGTTCAAATAAACCTACCATTAAAATTATAGACTGATCGTTTCTTTGTCAGTGGGAAAACGTTCAAAATCAGCAGGGGATCAAATACTTTTTGGTGAAATAGAAGCAATTATTGGTACCATGATTGTGTAAGTTGGGCGGTCGGCCTTCAACTTAAAATCATCAATGTGAGGGGGCAGTCATTCTCCCCTGACCTTAACCATAACCATAACCCTTACCTAACCTTTTACCTATTTTACATTTCAACTTCAATGTGGTATGGACGTCCCAAGGGACCACCTGGGCAGTGGGCAAGGTAGAGTTAGATGCTGACAGACCTGGTGCCAGAACGAATCAGTTGGATGGCATTTGATTTCCATGGACGGGCCCGTTTTAATTTTTTCAGGGAGGTGCCAACAGCCTTTATTATTGATATGTAAAAATACAATTTATACAACGGGTGCGGTTGGAATTCGAATTGCCATTGTCTTTCATGCTTTCATGCTTTAGAACAGCCCACTGCGTTTCTCTGTCATGCTTTTGAATGCATCATGATCTCCTCTTAGAGGGAGTTGATTAACAGAAAAAAATGCAATCATGTCAACAAAAGAGCCCAGGTAATATCGATGACGAACAAGCTGATCCATGTTAACCAGTGTGGATATTTTCTGCATTAGGCATTTCTCTCTCCCTCCACATAGCCTTACATGTTGTGTTCTTTCGAGGTGGCATGTTTGTTCAGTCCTTTATCTGTCTTTAATGCATGCTTCCAATCACAGAACCCTTTAATGGTAAAGGTTGAATCTGATGACGCAGACGTGCTGGACCGGAATTTTCGGCAGGGGAAACAAAAGAACACGTCACCTTGTACTGAATACTCTTGCCAATCTCCATTATGGTACCATGTATTAGCAAAAGGCTGCTTCTTCCCTGAATACAATCTTACTGGAAACGTATCTAATGTCACATGATTGGGCATCTCAACCCCAAGGTTAACTGAGGCTGCTCCTCTGGATGTGGGTGGTTCTGGCCCTTGTGCTTTAGCATGGCTAGAAGCTGCTGCTGAGCTGGGTGGCGGCAAGGAGGCTGGTGGTGTGACTGGGAGGGGGACTCTGCTATCTTCACCGTTGACAGAGACTAGGCTAGCCGAACTCTGTGGGCTAGCCACATTGCAATGATCGCCAGCAACTGTAGCAGTGCTTTCAACAAGTGGAGTTTCAGCAGCACTTGTTGCAGCAGATGATGCATTCTTTTAAAACCAATTTCTAATATCTGGCTATCCTCCATATTTCCAACAATCACAAAATGTGTCAGGTCAGAGACGTGACATCATGATGCATGTGATAGGTGTCAGTCATAATTACTTGAGCCTTATTTAATTTAATTTAACAATACAATAATTTCTTTAGGTAATTTAACTTTAAATGGCTGTCGTGGAAATTACCACCAGGGACACCTGAGGTCAATATTAAATGAATCATTTTTTATTATCAGCAAGCTGGAGAGGTTCCAACAAACTTAATGCACCATAGTACACGTCGGTCGGGAGCTCTACTGGGGCAGTCCCGTTAGTTCTCTTATATACTGCTTACACAGACAAGTTATATTTTTCATTTCATCATTAATTCATCATTAACGTTTGGTTCATGCATGTGACCGACCAATACCTCACGAGGCATCTTCTCTCCAAGCTGAGACCTTGAAACTGAGATACCCCTTTCGGTCCTCAAAGCAATGTCCTGGGCGTACTGCCAAATTGCTTAAATTGATAGTGAGGATTCCTCCCAGGCACGATGAATCAGTCACTTCAGTCGAATTGGGTATTCTGAACAAGCACAAAAAATAAAATGTCCTTCAATAGCCTAAATATCATACAGTTTCCTTCAACCATGTATTTATTGGGAGGGGCCGGAGGTAGGTAGGGCGGGCCCAGGGCCCCCTAAGGCTACGCCCATAATGCCGGCCCTGAGATGTTGATTGAAAGGAATGTAGCCGACAAATAAACCTTCTGAATTAAACAACTATATAAACACCATGGTGACACAAACATCCGAAAGACAATAGCCGTTCATTTCATCATCATGAAGTATGCTCGTTATTCATTTAAATGTGTAACTGGAACATGAAAACTGCACTCATTCAAGTAACGAGTGTGTCCCGAATTAGTTGATGTGTTTATTGATCCCTCGTCGTAACAGTGACAATAGAGGGCTCCGAGCAGGTTGGTAGGGCGGGGGGTGGGGTGGTTTGGGATTCATCAATTGGGGTGTTCCATTGGGTGTGTCGAGCAGGAAAAGAAAGGCATCAGCATGCCTCAGTTCGGCTGGCGCCTAGCTGAACTCGGTTGCGCCTATGCGAACCTCCCTTAAAAGACCTTTACTTGAAAAACAAGAAAAAAACGGCAATAGTACGGCAATAGTACTGTTTTGTCCATTTTGATACGCCGTAGCCACATTACACTTCCTCAATATAGTTAGAATTAATCTAAGATAATCTGTCATTAATTTTGACGTTTTTGCCAAGGAGATTTCAATTTTACATCTAACTAAGACGTTTGGTGCAGTATTTCTCATAGAAATGACAACAAATACTTTTCTGAAGAATCCCTACTGTTGACCAATCACCGACGAAGGGGCGTAGACTTCGGCTTGCCTCAAGAAAATATGTTGTGCTCCTTGAACAGCCGAAAAAACCCTTACCAGTCCAAAACGAACAAAAACATCATAATATATGCACAAACTCTTCCGAACTGTTTAGTCTGGGAGGCAGTCGGACACTGTAGTGGTTTTCCAACAGCAAGGCTCAGATCAACATGGCAGTGTCAACATAGCAGCTATTGTTTATAAAGGTTTGGTATAAATAAACTTCTATACCCCCATATCACATAATTAATTGGTTAGAGAGAGGTCTCATATAATTTTCGTATCCCCTGTAGCTCTAGAATCGTGGTAAAGTTGGTTCCTGTTTCAGTCACATCTTTGGTTACGTTCGAGTGGGTCAAGCAAAATCACCCTAATGATTGGTTGACAACTAGTGCCTCCCACTAGCCAGGCGATGGCTGCATGATGCAGTTGGTGAGAAGCAGCTATAGCAACTTGAAGGCGACTTCATCAAAAATTGCATGACCTTTGATCACATGGTTTTTGTAAAGTTCATGTAATCGATATGTTGGCGCAAGTCGGACAATTTTTATCCCCATAATGCAACATACTTTGAAAGACAAAATGTATCCGCTCGAACGCGCCCATTGCTAATAGTCTTGCAAATTAAATCAGTTTATTGTCAATAGTTTCAAATGCAGATAATATTTTTGAGAATGCACAAATGTATTAACATTTGGATTGAGTAAATATAAAATCATCCATAAACCAATAGTAAAGAAATCAAGAACATGATAAACACTGCCAATGAGACCATGATTTGATTGTGAAAGCACTGATTATAAGAATAAAAGGTTACCATGATCATTACACAAAAATTGAAAGTAGGTTATATAATTCAATACTAAGACACTAAAAACGTGAAATATTATGACATCAGTAAATATTATGACATTGAGAAATGAAATTTGACACCCAGTATAGTATACAGTACTGAATGAAACAAAATGAAAAGTCAATTTACAACTTACTGTAAAGAACCTACTGTTCTTTTAGCAAGCTTATATCTCATGCAACTTGCACATAAGTTACTGTATCTATTTTGAAAAGCCATAGGCTACCTAATGAATAATCAATTGTAAGCAAAAACAACAAAGTAAAAATGTTGAATTGTCACTCACCTAAGGTTCAACAATAAATGATTCACAGTATGATTATACTGAATTCATGATATTCATATGCTGAATATAAAAGTATGATTTTAGCCCTTTACCAACATTTCCCCAGGGGAGGTTTTGTTATTGGATGGCTGTACGGATGTCGTTATACTCTGGGGTGTTCTGGTCCAGGTACTTTTTGTCGGCCACCCAGGACTTCAGCCTCTTCCAGCTGATTCTGGTCGATGATCCCCTCTTTACAGTGGTGATTCAGCATCTGATTGAAGCCAGCTTTGTAGTATAACACTGTTCCTTCAGGAGACATAATAATGGATCCCGGGGTAAGTTGATTGGTGTTTCCTAGAATAAAAACATAAACAAATTAAGGGTTAATATTCAAACTGAAATGAGAAAAATCTAGTCAAGAATTTCCTATATAAGGACAGACAGGACAATAATCACCTGCTCTGAGCTGGTCAGAAGCAATCGGATGAGCCATGATGAAAGAGAACTTCAGTGATTTCTCCACATCTCCGCTTACAAGTGTATCCGCCAGCAGCTTCCTATGAGTTGGAAGGGCATGTACAGTGTTGTTAAGAGATTGAGAACATTCCGAATAGGGAAGCAGCATAGATGGTAAGTATTCAATTCCTAATACACCACAAGAATGGAACTTTTCAAATTGTAGCAAAATTAAAGGTATTTTTTACAAGTGAAAACTCTAAGAAGAGGACCAGGCAGGAACCCTGCTTGAATTAAATCAAAGTAGGTTTGTTTCTGTGTTTTTATTTCAGCCTCGGTTGTGTATCACAGGCGGAAAGAAAGGGATGGATTGCACCTACAGTGCATTCGGAAAGTATTCAGACCCCTTGACTTTTTCCACATTTTGTTACGTTACAGCCTTATTCTAAAATGGATTAAATAGTTTTTTCCCCTCATCAATCTACACACAATACTCCATAATGACAAAGCAAAAACAGTTTTTTAGAAATTGTAGCAAATGTATTAAAAATAAAAAATTTGAACTATCACATTTACATAAGTATTCAGACCCTTTACTCAGTACTTTGTTGAAGCACCTTTGGCAGTGATTACAGCCTCAAGTCTTCTTGGGTATGACGCTACAAGCTTGGCACACCTGTATTTGGCGAGTTTCTCCCATTCTTCTCTGCAGATCCTCTCAAGCTCTGTCAGGTTGGATGGGGAGCGTCGCTGCACAGCTATTTTCAGGTCTCTCCAGAGATGTTCGATGGGGTTCGGCCAGACATTCAGAGACTTGTCCCGAAGCCACTCCTGCATTGTCTTGGCTGTGTGCTTAGGGCCGTTGTCCTGTTGGAAGGTGAACCTTCGCCCCAGTCTGAGGTCCTGAGCGGTCTGGAGCAGGTTTTCATCAAGGATCTCTCTGTACTTTGCTCCGTTAATCTTTCCCTCGATCCTGACTAGTCTCCCAGTCCCTACCCCTAAAAAACATCCCCACAGCATGATGCTGCCACCACCATGCTTCACCATAGGGAAGGTGCCAGGTTTCCTCCAGACGTGTCGCTTGACATTCAGGCCAAAGAGTTCAATCTTGGTTTCATCAGACCAGATAATCTTGTTTCTCATGGTCTGAGAGTCCTTTAGGTGCCTTTTGGCAAACTCCAAGTGGGCTGTCATGTGCCTTTTACTGGGGTGTGGCTTCCGTCTGGCCACTCTACCATAAAGGCCTGATTGGTGGAGTGCTGCAGAGATGGTTGTCCTTCTAGAAGGTTCTCCCATCTCCACAGAGGAACTCTGGAGCTCTTTCAGAGTGACCATCAGGTTCTTGGTCACCTCCCTGACCAAGGCCCTTCTCCCCCGATTGCTCAGTTTGGCCGGATGGCCAGCTCTAGGAAGAGTCTTGGTGGTTCTAAACTTCTTTCATTTAAAATGATGGAGGCCACTGTGTTCTTGGGGACCTTCAATGCTGCAGACATTTTTTGGTACCCTTCCCCAGATCTCTACCTCCACACAATCCAGTCTCGGAACTCTAAAGACAATTCCTTCGACCTGACCTCATGACTTGGGTTTTGCTCTGACATGCACTGTCAACTGTGGGACCTTATATTGACAGGTGTGTGCCTTTCCAAATCAGGTCCAATCGATTGAATTTACCACAAGTGGACTCCAATCAAGTTGTAGAAACATCTCAAGGATGATCAATGGAAACAGGATGCACCTGAGCTCAATTTCGAGTCTCATAGCAAAGGGTCTGAATACTTATGTAAATAGGGTATTTCAGTTTTTTTTTTTGTATACATTTGCAAACATTTCTAAAAACCTGTTTTCACTTTGTCATTATCGGGTATTGTGTGTAGATTGATGAGGGGAAAACAATTATTTAATCAATTTTAGAACAAGGCTGTAACGTAACAAAATGTGGAAAAAGTCAAAGGGTCTGACTTTCCGAATGCACTGTATAATAATAGATAATTCACCTGCAGATGACAGATGCCTTACTGGCTCCAGTGGTTAGAGCATTCCTGTGATGCTGTTTGAGAACCCGCATTGTGGGCAGGTTCTCTCCATTTGAATCTGATCCAATGCTGTTTATCATTTCATAAAGCTTTGGATTCTTCTGTTGAAGATCTTTCATCTGAGATTGTTGGTCTCTGGCCTGCTTCAGGGAACTCTTTGGTGGGATATGGTCTGCCTCCACAACGCCACTTTCCTCCATATTTTCAGAGATAAGTCTGGTGTTTTTGACTCTGATGAGGGAATAGAAGAGAAAAGGTTGTACTATGAAAGTACAATTCAAGTAAACACATCTATTTATACAATTTGTATGTCAATGCTTTATTAATTATTATATACATTTCTGGTCTTAATAATGTATTCAAGTGTAGAAACAATGCAGGGTCATTATAATTACATTGGTAGATTTGAACAATGCCCATATACAAATAAAACAAATATAATGCTAAATTACCTTTTGTAAGGACCAACTAATCCAAGTTGGTACACATAGGCTATGTCCTCCTCATTTATCCCTGAGGAACTATAAGGAATATACTTCATGGGACTGATATCGTGACCATATTCCTCATCATCACTCGTCTGTGCTGTCGGCCCTACCCCTCCAACTATAGCATATTTTCCATGATTTTTCTTGAGTGCATCATAGGCCTTCTGGGTTTTAACCATTTCACTATGAGCATGAAGGTTCCCTTTAATCTGTGGGAAGACATAACAGGTATCAATAACTCCAATTACTCCACAACAAAGGTTAAAGGTGCAATCTGTTATATTCATTTATTTTATTTAGGGACAGTTGGTATCTACCAATCATCTTAATTTCCTAGAGTTCCTTCGTTGGATTTGATTAAAATTACATATTTCAGGAAGTTACTTAGTTTAAGAATTATTTAAACTATACGTAGACATGCGTAGGCCTACAGTACCTGGTCTTTAACGTTGTTTCGTAGATTCACAGCTTGACTCTTGATCTCATCCTCTGACCTGTTAGATATTGCCTGTGCTAGGGCATGGTACAGGCAGTTCTGGTTCTCTGAGCGCACAGGGATTACTTTGCCATCTTGGATGATGTCGAAGTGACCACTGTATGGATTTTCCACTCCTTGGATTCTGTCTTTTGCTTTAGAGAGGATTCCTTTCTCACTGAAAGAGCAGAAATAAAGAGCACCATTGGTTCTCATTAATGTAGTTCTAATTGGAGAGATCCTAATTTGGGGAGATTTGCAGTATTGTTGATGAAGGTCTACCAAACAGTTTAGGACAAATACCTGTGTGTTTCCTCAGGCTCTTTGGTCAGCTGTAGAGTGATTTGGCCGGCTGAGCTGTTCGTTCCCGGGTAGGACTCCTCTGAGAGTGTTTTCCCATGTTGATCCACCACTTTGAACTGGATGCCTTTACCATGGAGCAGGTCACTGTTTGTGAGGACATAAATGTCCAGGGCCGAGGCTGGTCTATTAACATCACCAATCTTCTCTGCATAGTCCAGGAGTTCTTTTGTTTCAGTCTCTGACAGAGCTTTCCCAGTCTTCTGACTGGCTGACTTCATATCATGTTTATGCTGCCGGTCCTGGAAAAAGACCTTAGTTTTGTGTCTGCCAAATACTTTGTCAACAACTTTTCCAGTGACTGCATTGACCTTCTTCTTGAATGGTCGCTTCACAAAGTCGGACATATGACCAGCACAAGCATCTATGAATGCTTGGGAGACACTTTCCGAAATGGAGCTTAGGAACTCATCCTTCAGTCGAATCACATCTGGTAAGTCATGTCTGCCATCTTGGTCATACTGCTCCAGATTTCTTTGCTGCTCTTCAATTTCTTTTTTTAATTCGAGGACAAATATGTCATTGATAACATGTTCTGTAGGAATGGATTGAATCATTTGGACCAAGGTTGTGGTGTGTTTAGCTATTTCTACACTTATTTTGACTCCTTTTGCAATCAAATGTGTCCCACTTTTTTCCACAAGGTCAGTTGCATTATTGCACACCTCAGAGAGTCTGCTGATAACATCACTGACTTGGGATGTGGTGGCATCAGTCATGAGGCCAGGAATAAGATCTTTTGTCATAACTTGAACTAAATCTTTCATTTGTTGTTCAAGCTTTGAGTCAATTTTATAATTGCTGCGGTTCTGCAAAGCTCCTTTAGGTACTGCAGAGCCAATGTACTTAGTGAGACTAAGACCTAGTTCGGCATTCTGTTTGACTGTTGAAGTGACCATGTCTTTGAAAGCTTTTTCTAAAATCATTTTAAAGATGGCCCCAATTCCAGCATCAATGCCGTAGTTAATTCCTGCGATTACACTCTGCTTCCCTACCTCCTGAAATGCATACTTGGTTGCGTGTTTTAGAGCCACCTTCATGTTTGTAGGGGATGCCAGTTTCTTTGTTGCAGTCTTAATTGTTTCTTTGGAGATAGATTTTGCTGCTCCCTGTGCGGACTTGAAAACATATTTTCCTGTGCCAATGATATCCTTTGCGACAGATGAGAGTTTCTTAGTACCATTGAGGACTTTATATGCTGTGATGGCAACTTTTTTAATGGCGCTGAACCCTGCGGAGAGCAGAGACATCCCAATGCTGATGCTTTTGGAGATGGCCCATTGCGCCCAATCGAACGTGCCCGATATCATGCCAGTTATCCCTTCAATCATGTCGGAGACTCCTTCAGAGATGAGACTGAAGCCAATCTGGGTTCCAGCGCCAAACGACAGGGCACAAACCAGAACTCCAAGGATGACCTGACACATACCGATGAAGAAACAAATCAAAGCGTCAAAGCTGAACTCTGGCTTCTTTTTCACCTCAAACACAATGCACAGGCCATTGTCATACAAGGCCGTGAGTTCATTTGCTGTGATGTAGTCTTGATTTTCTGAGAGGCTGTACACTGAGGATACCTCTGTTATGGCCGTGCCTTCACCCCTCAAGCTCTTTAAGTTTATTTACCACAAGGTCAATGTTAAGTATCCAAGCTTTGTGAATGCTCATCCTGGAATCTATTTGCTTTAGAAAGTTGCGTTCTCCTTCATGATGTGGTTCAAAGTTGCCTCTTGTGGCAATCTGAAAAGAAACCATGGTATTTGTTGTTTCTGACAAGTAAACATCCACAGATGTCTTTGCCCTTTCCAGTAATTCCCTTGCCTCTGTTTTGTAGCCATCTTTGCCCATGTTGATGGTGATGAAGGCTTGGTTGTACAGTGCCACGGCACTGTAAAAAGGGTCACACTCTTCAACATCTTTCCAGTAGGACTTTGCTTCATAGTCACACTTACTTTTGTTGCGGAGGTGCAAGTCAGTTCTGCCGGTAGCCTGCTTTATGTGGTCATAGAAGTTTTGACTTTTTCCATTCAGCAGCATGTTGCCCCTATTTGTGATATGCTCAAGAAGGTCTGCTTTAAGAACACTGATATCTTCGTGCCGACGGATGTGCTCCTCGTGAAGGGTAAGCCACAATGCCCATGTTTCTTTCAAAGCATTGAGTGCCGGCTGGTAATCAAACTTAGGGCCTTTATCTTTAAAACACTCAGGGACATCTTTCGGCCCCATTCCCGACAGGTCATCTCTCTCCTGTTTTGTGAAGTTGCCGTCAAACTTGTCAAGAAATTCGCAAAACGTGCCAAACAGGTCCTCTTTTATTTTGATTTCGAGAAGCTCATCTGTCTCCATATCTTTGATGCGTTGGACTTCGTACTCCTCTCTCAGTTGTCTCATGATCTCCACAGGCTGGCCCTGGTATGCTGGGGCAAGGTTATCCCCACGGAGGATCATCTGGACCACGCCCGGGTTTCCCTTCCGACCAGTTCTTCCGAACACCTGTTTCTCCACTCTGCGACTGCCAGGGTAATGTGTCAGGAGGACGAAGAGGCCACCACATAGGTTGACATCCTGATCAACCTTGATATCTGTTCCACGACCTCCTAGATTTGTGGCTATGATTATATGTCCCCCTCTGAATTTGGTACTCTCAATGTTGTGTTTCTCACTGATTGTGTATAATGTGATGGGGGGATGTGGATTCTCGCCCCCTATTTTCTTCAGAAGCTTGTTTGCGGTCTTGACATCCTCACATATGACCAAGACAACCTGACCACTGTCTGCCACTCTCATTGCTGTCTTACAGAGGATCTCCATCCACTGGGCTTGCCCACTGACCTGAATTGCTGGAAGCTCAACAACCTTCTTATGGCGGTGAGCTGGTATTGTGTAGCTGTCTGTTTCGTAATGCCTTGCAAGGAAATCTTTGTCGGCATCGCCCCCTAATGTCCCAGACACACCAAATATCCCATTCCCTTTGAGGTACTTTTGAAAGTAATGGAAGTTTGACAGGTAATTTATCACATTGGACAAAGGAGTGGTTGCCAGCTGGTGTTTCATCTCCAGAAACTGCTGCAGGCCGTCCCCCCAGCGTTTGTTCTTCTCCAACACTCCACTGGCCTGGAAGTCCACTGGGATGATGGCATGGTAGAGATGCTCGTCTCCGACAGCTTCCAATGTCTGATCAATCATGTACTCTCTGCCTTGTGTCATCATGATGGCTTTCAGGGCGTTTTCCACAAAGACTGGTAACCGATTCTCAAGGTATTTCTCAAGGAAAGAGGGGATCACAAGAAACTCTGAGTTTGACTGAGAGTTGCCAGAATATTTGATTTTAGACTTCAGCTCAGAGACAGTTGCCTTAATGAGTTTGTCTTCTGGTATGATCTCACTGGCTCGTCCATTCTCGAGGAGAAGCATTTTGATTTCCAGGATATCAGGGTTGTTGTGCAACTTTTTCTCCTCAACCAGCACGACTTTATTGTTTGTCACAGAGTAACAGTCAATGGCCACATCATTCTCCAGTGCTTTCTCCATGATGGTGAGCAGATCACACTGTTGAGTAATTCCAACTTTGGCCATGAATGTATCAACAGTTTTCCTGTTCTCAGTTGTATCGTCGTGTTTCTCTGCGTTCTCTAGAGCTTGCATGAACATGTCAAAATCTTCATCTGAATAGATACCCAACTCCACTCCGGCTTCCAAAATGTGAAATTTGGTGCTGTACAGCTGTTCAAGAAGACGGATGAGAAAGTCATACTTCTGGTCCCAGTCAGGTAGTTGGACCTCTCTACTGTCTGTGTCCGAGTCGTTGGTCAACGTTAGCTCTGCCACAGCCGTGAGGATGCTAAACCTCTCGGTGAGTGATTGCTCTCCTTGGCTGATAGCACGATCTATGGTCAACTGACACCAGATGGACAGTTGAGGCTCTCCAAAGTATTGAAGGCTTAGCTCATTCTGAAGATTTTTCATTCGGTTTTCAAGTATGTCCTCTTGCATGCTTTTGTCTTCAGTGATCTTGTACTTCTTCAGAAGCTCTTCAAACTTATTTTTCAAGTGCCCTGGCTAGAATAAAATGGTTCCAACACAAAAAAGTGTAAAGAAAAGGAATGTTTTAGTACAGATGCAATAAAATATGTATGTGTCATACTAGAAACACTTTTTCTATTAGTGGTGGTCCCATGTAAATTGGCAACTCTATGTAAATATGAGAAACTGTATTTTCAGAAAAATATAATAATATGTTTATCATTAAGTTAACGCAACATTAATGCTAAACACAAAATCATTAATGCAAAATAAAACAAATTCTACAACCCTTTTAAATATCTCATACCTCATCCCTTACGATTGCTGCAGCATCATCTTCTATCATCTGGTGTAGTACTTGTGTACGCTGGTGATGGCGCTGTTGTCCTTTAAGACTCAGCTTCTGTCTCAGCTTTTCTCGTCCCTTTGACACCTTCTTACCCGAAAGTTCGCACTCTCTTTCGATTTCTTGCTGGATTCTCCTCTCCCTCTCCAGTTGCTCCTGGCGCCTCCTCTCCTCCTGCTGTCGTCTTCGTTGCTCCTCCTGTCTTCGCCGCTCCATCTCCTCCTGCTGTCGTCTTCGTCGCTCCTCCTGTCTTCGCCGCTCCACCTACTCCTGCTGCTGAAGGATACGGTCTTCCTCTTGCTTCCCTGATGGATGAATACAAATGACATACTTTTATACAGGTAACAAGCTGAGATTAGGAGCACTCCCTTTAAGAGTGTGCTCCTAATCTCAGCTCGTTACCTGTATAAAAGACACCTGGGAGCCAGAAATCTTTCTGATTGAGAGGGGTTCAAATACTTATTTCCCTCATTAAAATGCAAATCAATTTATAACATGCGTTTTTCTGGATTGTTTTGTTGTTATTCTGTCTCTCACTGTTCAAATAAACCTACCAATAAAATTATAGACTGATCGTTTCTTTGCCAGTGGGCAAACGTTCAAAATCAGCAGGGGATCAAATACTTTTTGGTGAAATAGAAGCAATTATTGGTACCATGATTGTGTAAGTTGGGCGGTCGGCCTTCAACTTAAAATCATCAATGTGAGGGGGCAGTCATTCTCCCCTGACCTTAACCATAACCATA